TTGATATTAATTATCTGTTTTTGACTATTAAACAGTTTATTATATGTTTTTGTCAAATAAACAATTGTTTGACTATCTATTATTGACTCATATATTTATTCATCCCATTACCGTCATTCGCACACCATAAAAATATATTCCTATTTTATGCATCCGGTCCTTACACGTTATGGCCACCTACAAAGATACCCAAATCAAAATTATTCCTTCAGAACAGAATTAAAGATTTACACGCAATTCTTTATGAACAAGGCAGTGGTATAAAGATTATTTACATGTGAGCATCCATGGCCATCGTAGAGCCCAAAGAAATGTAGCCCACTTGGAGAAATATGGTTTTGGCTGCAAAAAGATGGGTGAATTGCGACAGCATTAGGGGTGGGCGTGGGTTGGGTCGGTTTTTTCCCCAACCCAAATCCAACCCAATACGATCGGTTTGAATAAAATTCAACCCAAACCAACCCACGTAAAGATTGAAACCCAACCCAACCCAACCAAATGTCGGTCGGATTGGGTTGGGTTGTATTAAAAAAATAAGCATAAAAATGAAGGGCAATAATCAACACTCAAAAGTAATATACACTAGCTTATTGCTAAAAGTTCTCTCAAACTCAGACAACTCTATACCTAAGCTAACAAGAAGAATGTTATGGCTTGCATGTAATTAGATTTTAAATCAATTCAAGTGGTTAGAGATTCCAGCAAGAAAGGATATAAATGTTTACATGAAGGACACAACTCGAGAACCAAGATGCCATGTAAGAGAAAATAACAACAGGGGATATTTCAATACATGACCATCTCCTTCATCGCTCCTATTACCAACCATTTTTAAAAGCAATAAAATGATTTTGAGGTTTCCAAAGCAGTATCAGCAAGTTAATTGTGCTTCTGCTTGTCTCCTCGAACAAATGAAGCTTGTAGTTTCAACTTACATTTGCTAATTCAACTTTGCTGGAATAGGATAATAATCTCAAAATGAAAGAACACCAGTGACCTGCCTATATTCAGCAAAAGTTTGCTGAATTTTACACCAAGATGATAAACGTATAAAAACGTCCAAAATCAGAAAATAATCAAAAACCAGAACATGAAAAGGAAACAGTACTAAAAAAACCACATTTCATGATTTCAACCGAAAATATAGGGACTCCATAGCATAAACAAGAAAAGGCTAATCAAAATTCATAAATTTCTCAACAAAAACACTGAAAATTCAAGAATAAGCAAAATACCTGATCAATTGTTGATGGGTGCTTGAGATAATGGAAAGTGGAGACGAGGATGGCGAGGGCGTGGACATGGTTGACACTGACACTGAATTGATCCTGCAACATTCTAGCCCTTTGGTCACACATGCTCATAAGGACTTCCTTCCTCTTCTCCTTGTGCTCATCGTCCATGTAATCATAAATTTGTGCACTAATAATCAAGATTAGCATTATCCAAAGTGCCATGATTCTCGGGTTCGAAACTTTGTGGATGATTGAATATTTTCCCTTGGTGCCCAATTGTTCATTCACCCTCACAGCCACCATGTCTGACCGCTTGAAGGATGGTGGAGAGTCTGGAGACTGGAGGCGCTCAGGCGACTGGTAGTTAATGAGAGGATGAAGGCTGCTAAGGGCTGGAGTTAGGGGTGGTTTTTACTTTGGGTAATTATATTACCACAACAAAATTTACTACCTATACCACATTATAATTTCACCACATTTAATATATCATTTTAATA